GTTACAGTAACCTATGATTACAAATTCATTAATTCTAATTATTAAAGGTTAATACTAAAAATTTACAATAGAAAATAAAAAAAAGCGAATAGAATTATATGTCAATGGAAAAAGTATAGTAAAATGCCAACCCTGGATATATTCTAATAAATTAACTTCGTATAAAAACTCTACCTGTACAGTGATTTATGTAGAAAATCGAAGAGTTGAAAATTCTAAGTGAAATATCTAATAGTAGATTTAATCATTCAACCGTTTCTGTATAATGTACTATCATTTGAAATAAATCAGTTCAGTAAGCACTTAAGATAAATAATTAACTTGGTTCAAAAAATTGGAAAATTTCCTTTGGTCTTAAATATAACTGCTATCGGAATTATTGAATTACGTATTATAAAATACAAAGTTTAAAAGACAAACTTTAAATTTAGTTATAATAATTAAACTAAAAAATTTCGCTAAAAAATTTCGTTTAGTTTCTGCTAATAAGTTAGGTTAAAAAGAATTTAATAGTACCAAAATTTTGCAAGGAAAACTTTTCTTAGTGCGCAGAAGGTGGCTTTATAGATAAAATATTGAGTTATGAGCGATTTTTTGATTGTTTTGATTTTTTTGCGTTTCTTCTGCGTCACACCTGATCTTGAAATTTGGTGAAATTTTTTACGTTTTGTGTTAGATTACAACGTTTCACAAAGTCTTAAATTAGCTATATTACCGGAGGCACAAATCTGATTTTTACCGTTAAATTTTCTAGTTCTTTCAAAATGATGTTACCAAACGAATGCCTTATTGAAATATTCGATAATTTTCGTACTAAATATGAAATATTATTTTCGTGCCTTCTTGTAAACCGTCAATGGTGTAGACTTATTGTACCAATATTATGGAGTGAACCTACAAATTATTTCCGTGATAAAAGACTTACAAAAATATATCTTTTAGAATTAAATGCTGAAGAGCAAGCGTCATTGATCCCTTTTAAAATTATTCTTCCAAATTACCCAAGGCCATCATTTGAGTATGCAAGTTATACTAAATCTGTTGGTACTTGTTTGACCAATGGGGTCAAAAATTGGCTTGAAAATGAAGGATATAATGTAGATATTTTTGAAAAAGACGTTCTTGCAAATACTATCGTAGGCTCTTTAGGTTCAATGTTTCTACGAACAAGTAAAAATCTTAAACATTTAAAACTTTACAAAGCAATTATTAATAAATCAACTCTAACTGGTGCACTTTGCAAGAATACCACGCTGACACATTTGGCTCTTAGTGATAATAATCTTGGATCAGAAGGCGGAAAAGCATTAGCAAATGTACTTTGCAAGAATACCACGATGGTTTCTTTCAGTCTTGATGACAATAATCTTGGACCAGAAGGAGGAAAAGCATTAGCAGATGCACTTTGCAAGAATACCACGCTGACTTCTTTGTATCTCTGGAGTAATAATCTTGGACCAGAAGGAGGAAAAGCATTAGGAAATGCACTTTGCAAGAACACCACGCTGACCTCTTTGGATCTCTGGAGTAATAATCTTGGATCAGAAGGGGTAAAAGCATTAGCAGATGCACTTTGCAAGAATATCACACTGACTCGTTTTATTCTTAGTGGCAATAATCTTGGATCAGAAGGCGGAAAAGCATTAGCAAATGCACTTTGCAAGAATACTATACTGACACATTTGGATCTTAGTGACAATAATCTTGGATCAGAAAACGGAAAAGCATTAGCAGATGCACTTTGCAAGAATATCACGTTGACTTCTTTGAGTCTTGATAACAATAATCTTGAACCAGAAGGAGGAATAGCATTAGCAGATGCACTTTGCAAGAACACCACGTTGACTTCTTTGACTCTTTGGAAAAATAATCTAGGATTAGAAGGAGGAATAGCATTAGCAAATGCACTTTGCAAGAATACCACATTGACTTCTTTGGGTCTTGATTACAATAACCTTGGACCAGAAGTAGGTAAAGCATTAGCAGATGCACTTTGCAAAAATACTACGCTGACTCTTTTGGATCTTAGAAACAATAATCTTGGACCAAAAAGCGGAAAAGCATTAGCAGATGCAATTTGCAAAAACACTACACTGACTTCTTTGAATCTTGGCAGGAATAATCTTGGATCAGATGGAGGAAAAGCATTAGCAGATGCACTTTGCAAAAACACCACGCTGACTCTTTTGAATCTTAGTGACAATGATCTTGGACCAGAAGGAGGAAAAGCACTAGCAGATACACTTTGCAAAAACATTACGCTAACTCGTTTGAATCTTAGAGACAATGATCTTGGACCAGAAGGAGGAAAAGCACTAGCAGATGCACTTTGCAAAAACACTACGCTGACTCGTTTGGATCTTAGAAACAATAATCTTGGATCAAAAAGCGGAAAAGCATTAGCAGATGCAATTTGTAAAAACACTACACTGACTTCCTTGTACCTTGACAGGAATAATCTTAGATCAGGAAGAAAGCATTAGCAGATGCACTTTGCAAAAACATCAAGCTGACTCTTTTGAATCTTAGTGACAATGATCTGGGATCAGAAGGTGGAAAAGCATTAGAAAATGCACTCCGCAAGAATACTACATTGACTTTTTTTGTATCTTTATATTACTTAGATTGATTTTGCTATAAAATCTAACAATCCAAATAATGCAATTTTAATAGGAGAGAGAGCAGCATTGAAATAGTTTAGTATAAGGTTTAATGCAAGTATACTTATAAACTAGAAATCGCACAGGAGGGATAGCTTCGCCATCCATTTAAATTGAATAAATATTACAATTTACAATGAAACAGGTAAAAAAATGTTTGCATTTTATTTAATCTTTATCACCAATATTTTTTAAAAATAAAGATCAGAAAAAATGATGTACGGCAAATTTCTTCCGTATTTTAAGAATGACTAAATGATTTTTCGATTTGTTTAAATTAATAAGATTCATTTAAACTTAAATAATCGAAAATGGATTGGCCATATAAGAAATATTATCGTTAAATGTTGAACAATCGTTCGCAGTGATCTCAAGAACGTCTGATCCATTTTGAGCATCTTAGATTTATATGAATACTATAGTCTGTAGCCTTCGTTCAAGAATAATCAAAATTGAATTAGTCATTCTCGACTTATAGAATGTACGACGTGAACAATTATTTCGGATCTTTTTTTGCATTCTCTATTATAAGTTCTAAGTTAAATCTTTTTTATGCAACCATCAATCTTTTACTTTTTCTACTCGCCGACTTTTGAGTTATGGAGAGACAGATATCTAACATTATTCTTCACTCATATTTACTACAATGCGCACATTTTCAATAACAAAAATATTATTAATTGTATTTAAAATATTATATTTATTGCTATATGCGATTTTTGCATTTCCGATCGGGTTAATTCGGACAAAAATAAACCCGAGTAGGTTCACGTTCATATGTTAATCATCTTTTAACTTTATTCATTCAATAGTTTATCGAGAATCAATAAAAGTAAAAGATGATTAACATATGAACATGAACCGGTACTCGGGTTCCAAATTAACCTGATCGGAAATGTCGAAAGGTGATTTTAAAGGCAAAGATCCCATATACTAAATTATTTTTTACTAAATATAATTTTTAATGATTTTATTTAGTATTTTTGTAACTCTTGAAAAATATAACCATCATTTGCTATGCCAAGCTAAAATAACTATTACTTGATATATCATGGTAAAAAATTAGATACATAGATCTTTTACTATTGTTTTTAGTGTTCCGCAAAAAAAGATCCGAACGGATCCGCTATTTTTACAGCTGTTTTCATAAATTCTGGAAAGTCTGACAAAAAAATTGTTCGACCGAAAATTTACCGATTCGATAAGTTTGTGATTTCGGTAATGATCGCTGCCGAATCAGTACTTATCGAATCGGTAAATATTCGGTCGGTCAATTTTTTGCCAGTCGTTCCAGAATTTATGAAACAGCTGTAATGGACTTGAAAGAAATAAAACTGTACATATAATGATCATCAGCAAATTTCAATAATTATTTTTCGGTAATAAGATTTTCGGCCGATATAAGATTATACCGAAGTGATATACCAGCCGAAAATTATATTATCGAAAACTACATTTTTTTTATTACCGAAAATTGACTGTAACTTCGGTAATTATAATTACCGAAATTTTGATCACAAAATTTTCACGTGTCCCACTAATTTTCAAATCAGCTGTAATATGAAATAAATACACTACCGACAACAGGCTCCACTTGTCTCTAACGTGTACCTGTAAGCCAATAGCAAGCTTTCAAACTCACTGCATAAACCGGATCCGGATCCGAATGGACGGTTTTTGAAGACCTGCTACTGGTGATAGACGCCTGAGAGAGACAAGTTGCTTGTTGTGTGTTTTCCATATTAATTATATGTATAGTTTCAGTTAGGGATGGGCCGCTGTGCAGGTGGAATTTTTCGGAATTTAACCATTATGGCCCGCATTAACAGAAAACTGCCATAATGCCTGTGCAGGCTGCGCAGCCTACGCAGTAAATTCAAAAAATCGTCGATTTGCCCGTCCCTAGTTTCAGTTCTGGTACCCTTTATGAAATGTTGCATTCATATCCATTAAAAATAACGGATCCGCTCGATCTTTTTTGCGGAACACTAATTGTTTTGAATGAGATTCTGACATAACATACGAGCAAAGATTTGAAAGATAATCTGGCTCGCATTGGGACTTTTTAGAAATTACAAGTTGAATTTCAAAATCAATTAACTTTTTAGATTTCAATTTTGCTTAGAGTCAAGTCAGTTACTAAACTTGAGTTTTCAACTCGGAAAAAAGAATAATTTTTAAACCTTTAAATTTATCTTATGTATTTTAAATATTGAAACTATAATAACGTTTAGTCTTTATCTCAACGTACATTAATTTGTCATTATTTATAATTTTATTTTTATTAGAGACGTTAAAGAAATAAAAGATCCATCAAGGATTAAGTCAAAAATTATCTATTTAATACCTAATATTATGTAATTGTTCTGCATATGTCGAAAACGTACTTCTGCGTGTTCGATAAAACTTGTTACCTTTTGACACTACTAACAAATCTACCAAGGGTAATAAGAATTCATACATAATCATACCATCCTTAGGATTTTTTAAATGTTTCAAAGGTTCTAATAAATCATTAAAATCATCTATTGTATAAACGCATGGAAAAGTTTGAAAAAATAGTTGAAGGGATGGGTGATTACGTTTTACGTCTGTTGCCAGAAATATTTTGGTTGGTAAACAAGCTCTATCATTTGTTTTATTAATATTTTTAAAATCTCTTTGAATATTTTTGATTAGCCCTTGTACTATTTTATTTTGATTTTCGAAAAAGAAGCCATCTCCTAACCTCGCATGTGCTCCAACAAACCTATTTGATCCTCCAATTTTATCAATAATTCGATTGGTAATATTAATTATTGTTGGATTGTTTGGTAACATTTTACTCTTCAATTTTTTCCAAAAATTTTGACTTTGCGGTAATTGCATAACAATTCTAGTTGATGAAAAGACACTTCCAAAGTGTAATAACTTTTCAGTTCTTTTACTTAGGTCGATTAAATTCACACGTTCTTTAAATTTACCGAGCGTAGTTGTTGATTCAGGGTTATCATAATATCGATGTTGATATTGTGCTAGATCAATTGTACATAGTATAAGATACCGTTTTACAGTTATTATTATCTTCCCGAAGGCATAATACAAAGTTACAATTTGTTTCATCTTTACTAAAACAGAAAGTAAATTTGTTTTCTTTAAAATCATTATTAGGTTTCATAAATCGGGTTAAAAGATTATATAGATCATCATATGGCTGTGATATTATTGGCGCAACTCCATTGAAAAATAGTACAGATGGAATTATTAAAGTTCTGTTTAAGAACCATGCCAAGAATATTGCGTTTTCTAATTCTATTCTTTGATTGTTGAAACCATCGTGGGGAAGGTAAGTTAAATATTTTTCTTGAAGGTCCGTTAAATTATTAAAATTATTTGAGTGATGTTTGGGTCCAATAAAGTAAAAAGTCGCACATAAAATCATAAAAAGTAAAATATTCGCATATTTTTTAGATCGAAAAATCGTATAATTGAAATTTGGAGCCATTACAGTTCAAAAGCTTCATACGTACTTTCGTACGTATTTACTATTTCCACCACATTTAAATGATTTTAAAATTAGAAATGACATTCTATTTATAGAATCCTTGCCAAAATTGATATGAGTGCTGCAGAGCAAAAACTTGTAACTGAACATAGTAAATCATTATAATCATTTACAGGTTTTCGCTCTGCAGCACTCATATGCACTTTGTGATTGGAATTAAAAAAATCGATTTGTTTATTTTAATGATATATAATAGTAATATGCTGAGTGTCTTTATATAGAATCCAAAAGATGATTACGTACATCATTAGTGAGATGTGAGATTGGTGAGCGCAAATACTGAAATAGGGGGTTTCAAAATTAGCAAATAAGTGACGCTTTTGGAAAATAAGTAGGATTTTTTTCAATAGCATTTTTATTATGTTGAAGCCCCCTAATAGTATCACACCCGCGTGAGATTTAGCGGTGCCATTATTTGTGCATTACGTATTACCGTATTAGGCGTTATTATTATACAGTACTGACGGGTACATCTATGTACCCCCCGCCCGATTTGGGGGACGTCTAAAGCGGAGGCAACTTATATTTAATAATTTTTTCGATTAATTTAGGGTTAGGGTCTTCTA